TTTTTATTTACTATATAAAAATCTAATATACCACGTAGATCATATGAAAAATGATCTACGTACACCCTACCCTTAAGATTAAAATAGATTCTAAAAAGGCCAGGATCAACCGCGTTCCGTGTTTACCCGTGATTTAGAAGTACTAGGCTTCAAGCAACTTGAGGAGAATAAAATCATGAGCTCTGCAGAAAAAAAACCAAATATAACCTATCAAAAAACAACGTTTAGAATCACACAAACGGGCAAAATACAAAAATATGTCGAACGTGGACTAAAGACATTTCAGGTATTGTTAATTCTTTTGCACGCCACAATAATTACAGTCTGATCCCATTCTTAAAAAGGATGGACCACGCGATGAAGAATTCGTAAATATTATCCTAATATTATCGGGTAAAGGTCCAACGATCACAAAAACAATAACAATAGCTGAAATACTTAAACGAAAGATGGATAATTTACATCAATATACACAAATTGGAAGATATAATGTTAGAGAAAAGATTGACGACGCCGTTAATAGTATTCTGAATGGTGATGCTGATAACGAGGCTACTGCTAATTCGAATGATGAAAAGGATGGCAATGGGTAATTTATAAATTCAATGTCAACATAAGATAATACATACTAATTACTGTTTTTCATGAAGAGCGACACCAGCTATCACTATATACCTTTGTACGAAAGCCGTGCCGTGTTTGGAAAACATTCTGGGGTAGGCACCGATAATGAAATGCCCTAGTCATGGCGAAAAAAGTGACAGTAATGTAAGATTCTACTTGAACATCTACACTCTGATTGGACGAAATTAACAATTTAAGTGTAATTTTTTCCAAACTTTTAGCGAAGATATCAACCACCACTTATTTTAAGATCAATAAAATTTTATTTTGATTCTATAGAATGCAGAAATACTATTCTCGATGGATCAGCAGTACTGATTTTACTAATCTCGATGGAGTTAAAAAAATTTATTTGATTATTGTTCTTGATAGAGTTCTAAAAACGAACCCCAATCTTAATAGTAGTATAGTATTTTAGAAATCCTTTTTTAAAATCCTATCAAGAACGGTATATAAATTTTTTTTCCTACCTATCAAAAAACAGTACCGACGATTCATTTATAAAGAATGGTATTTTTGCCTATAGAATTGAAATAAAAAAATTTTTATCGATCTTGGATAGGTGGTCGTTAGTGTTTGTAGTCGATTTGGTATTAGCCAATAGAATCTATTCAGAACGACCTGGTTAGCTAAAAAAATTGTTCATGATAATCATTTAAGTCACCAATTTTTCAATGGAGTTTCTCTGATTGGTTAAAATTTCAAATCCGTATTTCGCCTTATGAATTTTCAGCAGAATCGTTGTAAAAATTATTTCAATTAATCGCAAATATTGAGTGACATTTCGAATTACATTAAGGGAGCACTTGAGGATACCACAAGTTAGTCGATTTTTTTAAAAGCTGACTTAGTCAATTCTTGGCTATGTATACCAGGTGTTCTAAAAGTCACCTGATTTTATGTAGGGATCGCGATAATGACTTTATGAAAAATATTATTGTAACGTAATAATTATTATTATCTTGATCCCTATTATAAAAATAAGGACTTTTTAATTACTTTTAGAACACCCGGTATAAGGAATGGCCGGATTTGGGAGAATTAGACAATCAGACAACTTTACAATAGACAACTTTACAAACAACTTTACAATAATGGATAGCAGGAGAGTTTGGGAATATATTTATATAGTCGACTCTGTATATAACGAACTCAAAATTTTGAAATTTCATATGACAGGTTGGTATAAGAAGTGCCATGAGTTCTTAAGAAAACAGTAATTTTCTATAATGAGCTTATTTTTCTTCCAAAATCTTCAGTCTGTTATAGGAAGAGCTGACTGTATAAATTTTTACATGTTACAAACTATCGACAAATTTAAGTCGACTACAAACACTCATGGTCGTCAAGATATCTTCGTTTAAAGCTTGGTTCAACTTTAAGATATTTCGACAGCTACTTATCCAAAATTGATAGTTTTTGTTTAATTATTATCTTTGCTCAAAGTTTGGAAAAAGAACTTTACTGTAGCTTCGATAGTTTAAGTTTTTTCCAGACTTTGAGCAAAAATATCTCGATGACCATCTCTATAAAGTAGATGAAAATTTATGTAATTTTTATAGAATTGAAAGTATTGATGATTTTGGTTAGGTTGTTCCCGAAGATGTTTTCACTCAAAAAAAAAAAAAAAAAAAACTCCCGTTTTAATGGTTATCTAAATTTCCCAAATTTTGAGCGAGATGTCTCGGCAACAATCGATGAAAATTTATCCAAATTTTTTTATTTCGATTCTATAAGATTGTATAATTAAAATATTTTTCGTTAATTTTAGATATGTAGCGGCTTCTGTTTTAAGTTTTTTCCAAAATTTAAGTGAAGATATCTCGACGATCACATAATCAAAATTAATGAAAATTTCTTTAATTAGATTCTATAAAAATTTTTTTTATAATTTTAGACGTATGATTATCGAGATATCTTCTCTCAAAGTTTGGAAAAACCTTTGTCGCGGCCTACTTTGTTATCATTTTCTCAAAACGTTGAGCGAAGATAACATCCGTCTTGACCATATATCTAAAATCGATAATAATCTTTTTTATATTAATTATATAATCCTTTATAATTGAAATAAAAAACTTTATCATCATCAATTTTAGATAGGTAATTGTCGAAAAATCACATTTATGTTATTGATTTCGTCCATTCAGAATGTGATTGTTCAATAGAATCTCCACATGACCGTTACTTTTTTTTTTTTTTTGCCATGACTAAGGTACTACCGATAATGTATGCGTTCAATAATTTACGATGGTTGTTATTAACGTGCATTTCATGTCATTAGTTACCAAAGGTAACGAAAAAATGGTATATTGCAATTGACACTGTAAGAATGTTTGATTCATTTTGAAGATTTAAATATATCAGTTAAATATTCGAATAATTTCGCCAGCATAACACTTTCAAAATCGATTCCTGCCATTTATAGTATAAGTACTTGATTCACTTATTACATCTGGTTATTGCAAAACTTTGAGTAAAAAAATGCTACCGGATAGAACTCGGTGTTTAAAAAAAACAACTAGCCCAAGTGACAAGTATATATAGAGGATTTCCGGTTTAATATCTTTATTATCACTTTTCACACGTTATAAATAAAATATCACATGTAGTATGTGGAATATTATGTATCGGTTGCTAGATCTAATATGCATAAAAATTAAACATATAATGCGGACATAGAATGAAAGATTAGTTTGTTCCTTGGCCTCTAGCTATATATGCTATAAGTAATCAGTTGAATTTATGGCCAAATCGTTTTTATTTACAAGTGAGTGTCGCAAAACTAGCAATTCTTTGCGGTATTCATGTATAACCCACCACACAACCACAAGCATACCTCTCCGCAATCCTTACCAAAGAAGCAAGTAGATAGATTAAAGCGAAAGGAAAGACAGGAGGGAAAAAAAAGGAAGAATTTCATCTTAGCGGATTTAGTTTCTTTTTTTCCCTTCAGCAAATTTTTGAGCCCTTTTTTTTTTTTCTTTTAGCGTTATTTTTTTAAGATCGGTATCAACGAACAACTAGTATGGAGAGTGTGGAAAATTTATTTGATGAAAGTTTGGCTTTAGAGTGATTTGTTTATAACAGCAATTGATTATATTGGTTGAGCGTTCAATTAATTAATTTCGGTTAATAAATACATCATCTTTCACATATCATTAAAGGAGAAGTGGTGTATCTATTGTTTTTTTTATCAATTATCCAATTTTTCTATGATCTTTCTGATTTATACGTATAAGAGGACCCCTGTTACTGTAAGAAATCCACAATTATAAAATCGATAATAATGAAATAAAAACCATTAAATATAATTGATAACAATCATATGGCAAATTAAAAGAAAATTTTTTACTTAATATTTTAATTTGAAAAGAGTTGTGGTAAAATATGGCCAATTAAAAGAAATTTTACTTATTGCTATTTTAATTTGAAATGAGTTGTGGTAAAATTCTTGGAATTGGAGTTAGGAATGCTAATGAAAATAGATTAGATAATGATTTATACAGTATAAATATAAAGTAATGCCTTACTTACCATTAATATTTGTTGTTCATACTTGCCTTCATTATAATTTTCTATACTACTATATTATGACTAGAAATCTTCTGTAGAATTAATCAATCATAATGAAGGAAATACGAGCAATGCAAAGATATTCATTTATTTTTTGTGATAAAAATAAGTATAGAGTTGTCTAATAATAATCATATGATACAGACGGCCCTTCAAGCCATCTGCGTATAATCATCGAAAACCTTACTTCAATCTCCCAGGAAATATGATTGGCTGTTTAAATCAATTTAATTTTATATTATTTATACCGTTGAAAAATAAACAAAAAGTATATATATGGAAAGTTTTATTAGAGTTGTATGACTCCATTGTTTTTTTTAATTTAAAGGTGGTATGACTCCATTGTTAAATAATCAAAATCTCTTTTTGTCTTAAGAAGTTAGCATAGTAACGATTTCTGAAAACTAGATAAAATTAAGTCATTATCATGCTAACTCCTCTAAAATGAAAGTGATTATTTTCAATTGTAAGGTTCTACAACCCTTTTCTATATATATACTTTATTTAATTAATTAATTATTTATTTATTTATTTATTATTGTAGTTTTAAGTACTTTAAAAATGTAAAATTAAATTGATTTAAACAGCCATATGAAAGTCTTTCTATATACATAATAATGACGACACATGTGTGGTCTAGGCTCTGGCGTTTCACGTAATACCTCATAGGCAGAAGTTTGTCTGATTGGCTAATAAATTCAAAGTTTAGAGTAACTTTTTAAAAAAAACGAAAACTAATCATAATGAAATAAAAAAAACTGTATAGAAGGTTTCATTGGAGCTGTAGGACTAATTCTCGTCCGTTTAAAAAAGGTAGTAATAACTTCTTAAATTTAAGAATCGAAAGGGTCTACTCGATACAGTTTTTTTTTTTACTTTATTATGGTTGGTTTTCGTTTTTTTTAAAAAGTACTCTAAACTGTATAAATTAAATTG